AAGTAACTGCTACCATGTTAGTCCTGTTACAAGCAGTTGATAGCAACAGCTGTGAACATTCATAAGCCGGACAGAGTGGACCTTGGACAAGTCACTGCAGTTTGGTGATAGGGAAGTAGGCAGAGCCCAATCAAACCAGCTGTATTGAATCTGTGGTCCTCAAGTATCCCTTCATCTCTCTGGGCCCATTCCGTTTTCTACCCATGGCCCGGTCAGACTGTCATGGCCTCAGAAGAGCAGTACATACCAGCCACTGAGACAGGAACATGAGTGCCATCATTCTTCATTGTCCTTTTTGGTTATTTAGAAAAATGTATTTGCAAAAAATGAGCTCTTGTCACATCTTAATATTTCACTCATGTGTGTAAATGCTGAAAAAAATCAGGCAGAACATGGCTCTGTCAGCCTGGCTTTCTTCTGTGGTGAAAGTGTCATTAGTATTTAGGTGAAGTCCCTGGAATCTGACCTGGGGAGAGGCCACCCCCAAAAAGAGTGCAGGAGTGGGTGGGGTCCTGATGCCACCATCATTAGAGCAGCTTTGCTTTCTATGCTACATGAACTTTAGAGGGCACAGTTCTTAGGGGTCATGTTGCAGAGAAGATTGAGGTCTTTAAAAAACAAAAATCAAAAAACAAACAAACAAAAAAACCACTAATCCAGAACACCTGGGCAGAGTGGTCCTTGGATAGAGCTTCTGTGACAGGCAGAAAAAAGCCTTTCCTCAGAACAAGGAAACTAACAAGAGAAGGTGATGGGTCTGAGAAGGAAGGACCCAGGGAAAAGGAGAAGATGGAATTTGCATATAGATCCCAAGGCCTTTACCCATGGCATGGCCATGCGTGCAGCTCCTCCCTTCACACACCTATTAGCTCCCATCCTCCTTCAGGTCTCAGCTCTGATACTTCCACAGGGAACCTTCTGTGACCTTTAAGTTAATGGACCTTTTATGCAGCCTCATAGCGCCATGTACTTCCTCTCTATAACCTTTATCATAGTTGTAATTTACATTTTTTCATAATTCTTTGATTAGTACCTATCTCCTGCCCTAGGCCGGGAGCCGAATAAGGGCTTGCTCATATTAGGCTCTCAGCGCTTTGCAGAATATGTGGCATAGAGTAGACTGGGTGTACACTATTCATTTTCTGAGTGAGCCCAATAATGAATTGTCTGAATCGATGGGTCAGCGACTGTGTTCCTGACATTGGAAACAGTGATGTTACATATAACATGGACTACCATCCCCTCCAAGATCTCTTTCTTCTTTAACCACTGATGGTCCTCACATACCCTAGTCAAGATTATTGCACCATTTTGCTGCTGGTCATGAATTATGGAGTGGTGTTTGTTTATTTGTTTGTTTTGGGTTTTATTTTTTTGGTTTTTCGAGGCAGGGTTTGTTTGGATAGCTCTGGCTGTCCTAGAACTCATTCTGTATACTTAGCTGGCCTCAAACTCACAGATATCTGCCTGTCTCTGCCTCCCGAATGCTAGGAGTGGGTAATGAAATCTAGCCAAGTGCCGTAGATAAAAGAAACCAGGGTAAATCCATGACCAGCAAAGAGAATCATGGGAACATTTATCAGCTTCATGTGAGAGGAGCAGCCCCTCAGCTCACACTGTGGAAACTTTGAACAGGCTGCCCTAAAAGCAGACAGTTTGTAGGAAGAACACAAGCACGAATCGGAAGAGCTCTAAAGTCTGCCCTCATCATTCCTGTGAGTTCATAAATTGTGTCACCCGTGCAGTGATAATAATTCAGGAAGCTATCACTATATCATTCCAACCTAGAATGTCACAGACTGATGATACCCATCATGCCAAGCAAATGCATGCTATGTTCCCTCCGGCTTGATCTCTGACTTCTACTCCTGAGTAGTAGGGGTGGGGAACCATCTGCGCATGCTCAAACAGTCGCAATTAATACCTGGTAGAACAGTATGGACCGCAACACCGAAATCCCCCAATAAGCTCTCGTGTTAGCTGACTGCGGCCTCTTTATATAGGGAAGCTGTCCAGAACAAGGGTCTTTGCTTTAGTTCCTTTTCACTGGTTAACAAAATCCTTGACCAAAACAACCTAGGGGAAGACAGGTTTATCCTGGCTCATAGTTTGAGGGCACAGTCCATCACAGCAGGGAAGACATGGTGGCAAGAGCTTCAGGCAGGTGGTCACACTGTCAGTGGGATTAGGTAAGAAACATTGAGGCCCACCCCTGGGAACCCACTTTCTCTAGCTTGGCCCCACCCCAAGACTCATTTCCAGCTTGGAATCAAGCATTGAAACACACAAACTTGCAGGAGACATTTCACATCCAGGCCACAACACCTTTCCACCCTTCTGGAAGATTCCTATAGAAGCCAAGTCTGAACTCAGGTCTTTGGATTGTTGGTTTAAAGATGGACTTTTGCCTGAGGCTTCTTAGCCAGAAACATGAGCCCACCTCTATGACCCCAGCCCCAACACACATATATTTCTGTATTCTACACTGGCTACTCTGACATACTCGCTTCTTGAACAATTGGCATGCCTTAAGAAGTGGCCATTCCTCTGCACCACTTATGCGTATGCCCAGTTCTTGTGCCCACCTTCCTGTTAATTCATGAAGTTATTGCATTCTCCTCTGGGTAGGTCTACCTCCTCCACAACTCCCATGATCAGATTTTGTCTATATTGTATACAACATGTCCTCTCCCAGTAGATCAAGTATGTGACCTCATAGGTCCATCTAATAGCTGGGACATACATTCAGCCCCTCCTAGTTAAAATAGGAGAAGGAAATTCAACAAACACCGAGGCCATCATCAGCATCACTTGTGGGGTTTTCCAGGTGGACTAAGAACCTTGACTTTCACCTGTCACTATCTCATTTGAGCTCTAAGAGCTACTTATTCCAATTGTCTCTCTTAGCTTTCTGACCTCTAAATATATAGTGAATGGCATTTTTTATATTTTGAATTATCTGTGTCTTGCTAGCTTTCTGTTTATGAACTGATGTCCTAGCACCATATAGTTGTATGCTGCTAAATGGCATGGATGCATTCTAAAAAATGAGTATCAGATGGTTTTGTTGTTATACAAATATCATAAAGTTTTAATCCCATGAATGAACGTGGGTATGCTGTCACTATGTGATACAAATCCCAGGAGTGCTACTGTGTATGTAGTCTGTCTGTCATTGACTATGTCACAATGCAGTGTCATCCCTCTTTCTAAAGCTTTGGGCCATTCCTATATTACCATTGTATCAGGCTGACTGGCCACTGCATGAATATTCATGTATTGATCAAGAAATTAATTTACATGTCTATCTCCCACTGGTGCTACCTCAGCACAAGATGAATGGTTGCCAATCAACAAGCTGCACAGAATAAACAATTGCTAATCAGCGGCCTGAGCTGGAACTGCAGCACTTCACCGGCCACAAATCGTTCTAACCAGACTCGGGGGCCTGTATCAGTACAGTCGGGAAGCGGCCGTATAACCGCACATAGTTAAAGCTGGCCCTGTTAGCTTGGGCCTGGCAGACCTAGGCTAGAGAGGAAACTAAAATCACCTCCAAATCATCCACACAATCAAAAATCATGGAGCTTTGGAAATCAAAACAAAATGAGATGTTACTTCACCTTTGTTAGAAGTGTAAGAAGGCTGCTTGGAAAACAGAACAATTGAAAAAAAATGTCCAGTAAGGCGAACACCCTGCTGTGTAATGGAGGGAGGATTTTTAAAATCATCTCTATAAGATGTTGAGCATCATGGCTATTCTATATGGAATTCTGGAGGCACTCCACTAAGCAGGGCAGAACTCATGAGTGGAGCAGTACCAGCATCCAGAACGATTCTCTGCTGTTTGGGTTTGGTTTAAGTATAAAGTGAATTCCTAACTTCTGGCTTCTTTTAGGCAATACTCCTTGAATTCCCCTTTTTATCATGGTAGAATTTACACAGCATTTGCCACTTCTGTCACTTTTCAGTGTACAGGTTAGTAGTATTAAGCACATGCACGTTGTGTAACCATCGCCTCTATCCATCTCCAGAACTTTCTCATTTCCCTACACTGAAACTGTGCCCTCTAAGCAGCTCCCTGTGCCCTGCTGTCTGTACCTATGACTTCTAGCATCCTTCCCTGCTGTCCGTACATGGGACTTAGGCACCCTGCACAGCAGAATCATGGAATACTGGTCTTTTGTGTATCATTTGTTCCCTGAGTGCTGTGTCCTTACAGTGTTCATCTGTGTTGTCACATGTAACATGTGTGACCACCGGGGCCTTTCTGCATAGGCCTAAGTAAAGCTCTTCATGCTGCCTGCACATACAGTAAGATCAGTTGGGAACAGGAAGCCTGAGATGTAACAGTTGCCTCAGTGTGTGTGTGTGTGTGTGTGTGTGTGTGTGTGTGTGTGTGTGTCTTTCAATCACTGTAAAACTCCTATGAGTCTATGTTGTAGAGGAAGAGCCTGTATCAGATTAGAAACCGGCCCCAGAGCCTTTAGCTGAGAAGCAGTAGTAAGAGAGACCATTAAAGGACTTCCCAAAGTACTTATTTTCATTTTTACTCGGATGAAGATCCAGAACCTCAGCCCCACCCTGCAGGAGGCCAGCACTCCACCTCCCTCCCCATGGCGGCTTGGCAGAAGCCACTGCTCAGGAGTACCACAAGTTATGGGGAGTGTTAGGGGGGAAAACCTGGGGGTGCTTTGAACTTCTCAGAGGACGTGGCAGGTGTTTGATGTTCAAAAGCACTTCTTGCCTGTAAAATGTGTCTCTGTAGCACTCTTAAGTTGCCGACTGAGGCTGACCAGGGAGTGGACCAGTGGGGGAGGCCCAGCTCAGTTCCTTTCCCAGCTGCTGGCCCTGCCTCTATGAAGGCCTGCATGGAAATTGTCTTTCCCCAGGCAGAAACTGTCAGAGAAACCATCTGGTCCAGTTTCTTATGACTGACTCCAAGGAACAGAAATCTCTCGGGGAGTTAGCAAGCTTGGCAGTGGCAGTGTGACACTTACCTGAGGCTGGCTCCCTGGCTAGCTGAGAATTACAGAGAGGCACAGCTCAGAAGGGCCTCTTGGGGCACCAGGCCAAGAGGACTAAGTTTGAAAATAAGGTGGCAGGCCTCTTAGCTGCTGTTATAGTTTGATATGAAATGCCCCCCAGAGCTTCACGTATTGAGGGCTTCGTTGCCAGGCTTCTGGAGGACTATACCCTGAGGGCTCTGATCTAGTCACCGATGTAATCTATTGATATATTATGACACTATTGGAAGGTGATGTAAGTTGAGAGGTTGGCCATGTCCCCTGGGCTACCCTGGCCCCTTCCTCTAACTCCTGTCTCTTCTTCCTGTCTACTATAACATAAGCCTCCTCCTACTATTATTCTACCCGAATACACAGGGCCAAGTAACTGTGGAGTGAACCCTTTGAAACCATGAGCCAACAAAATTTACTCCATTGCTTCTGTCAGGTATTTGCTATGGGAGGAGAGGGGATGAGGATGGAACCAACAGGAGACCAGAGTGTCTGCTGGATGACTGGAGATCCACTGGCTACTACAGGATGTCTCTTCTCATTGGTCTTCCGAGCAGTAACTTCCCCCAGATAAGCTCCCCCACTAATCTCCTAGCATCCCCCACATCAAGAATGAATGCAGCTCATGCCCACCTCAGCCCTTCCATTTCATTCCATGCAGCTATTAATAGGCCATCAGAATCTCCCTTCCCTCATGTTTACTCTCAGGCTAGCAGAGCCACAAGGAACCTTAAAGCCCACTTAGCCCACCTCTCTCACTACTGATTAAAATGAGACCAGACAAGGTGACTTGCCCTGTTCACCTGGGCTCCACCTCCCACCCACCAAGTCTTATATCCAGAGTGTCTTCATTATCTCCTCTCTGTGTTTGTTTATAGCAGGGAATGGAACAGGAGTCTGGTTTACTTAGTGTCTGGATCATTTATTCAGGCCAGGCCCAGATCGGTGCTGTGTGCCTTATCAGGAGTAGCTCTGGTTATCTTCAGACCAAAGTCAGAGTCCATGCTCATAAAGGAGGTTAAAAAAGTTTAAAAAGCGGCCTTGCATGGAGAAGGGAGAGGGAGGGGAGAGAGAGAGAGAGAGAGAGAGAGAGAGAGAGAGAGAGAGAGAGAGAGAGAGAGAGAGAGAGAGAGAGAGTCTTTTCTCTAGTAAACTATATGAGGAAAATGGAACAAATGAGTAGGACCCCCTCACTTTAGTTTCACTTCCAGCAGTTTTAGTTATATGAAGTCAATTATAATCTAAAATATTAAAATTCCAGGAGTAAATAATTCATAAGTTCTAATTCACATTATTTGGGCAGTATGAAATTTTGTGCCACCTCACCCATTGTCTTACAGTATATCCATCCTATACACACTACCTATATAGCCACGCAGCAATCATCCAGTAGCTTTCTCAGATATCAAATCAGCTGTGTGATATGAAAATCCTTGAGTTAAGTAGACTTGAATTTGATAATGGCCCAAAGCTTGAGTAGTGATATTGGCAAGCTTTTTGTTATATAGTTGTAATTTTTCTGTTTTTACAATTTTTAGCCTCTTAATGTGCTTAAATTTTAAAACAGACATCATCAAAGGCATATATACTTTGGAAAGTGTATCTGTAGTGTTTGTTGCTATCTCTGGCATCAGGCAACCACTGGAGGTCTTGGAATGTGTCCCCACCAATAAGTGGATGATAGCAGTATTGAACATCCATTCATGACAGCCAGTCCTCAGAGAGCCTAAGAAGGAATGGAGGTCTTACTCCATGGGCAAGGACTCTGAGGCACAAGAGGTCACACAAACTGCCCCAGATCTCAACAGAGAGAGGAGGAGTTAGAACCAGGTTTCTCTTAACTCCAAAGTCAAAATTTTTTCTATTCAACCACTTTCATCAGCTCTCAGTTCTGCTCGTGGAAATGGCATGGAGCTGTCTCCCCTCCTTGGGCTTCTTGCCTGGGTTCAACAAGCCTATGAAAGTACTGGATGAACCTACTCTCCCCACTGAGCAGAGTGTTAATGACATGGGACTTCAGACTGAACATGTGTCTCCAGCAAGCAGGAACCAGTTGAAGCTGAAGCCACGCTCTTGTGGACAGCAGCTTTTCTCCATTGGATAGACAGTGTCTGCAGTGCCCACTGGTCATGCCTAGTCTATTCTGGGAGGTGTCTAAAACACAGACTAGCAGCTCTGACACAGATGGAAACACATACTATTACAGATGCTGTAGGAACTGGGTTTGGGCCGCATGTGACAAAGGGTTTTATTTCGAGTTCAGAGATAGTTTGGTTGCCAAGGTGAACTGATTGTAATAGAACTCTTCCCACCCCCACCAGCCCTCTGACCCATTGTTCCTTCTTTCCAGTAAGTTCCATAGAACTGCTGCATCCTTCTGAAAATTCACAGTAACACACTCTAAGCTTTCTTCACAGTATTCTTGATAATTGATCTTTATCACTTTTCTATTTTGTTTGGTTTTAAGATATTTATTGCTCAGCTTTTTGTGTTAAAATCTATACAAATGTGCATATTTATGGGGTATAGTATAATATTTTTATCTCTGTATAATGATATAATAATCAAAGTGTTTGGCATATTCTTTACCTCAAACATTTCCCATCTCTTTGTGTTGAGAACATTTTAAATCCTCTCATAACCGACTTAAAATGTTAAAAACAAAATTGTTAGCCATAGTCAGCTGCTTTGCCATGGACCATTGGAGCCCATTCCTGGCATCTTCCATAACTTTGCCCCTGTTGACCTATCATCCCAATCCCAGGCATCCCAATCCCAGGCTCTGGCAGTCCCCTTCTTCCTTTTTTGAGACCAGCTTCTTTAGGTACCACACATAGGAGAGAACATACCGTATTGGTCTTCTCTCTGTCTTATTCCATTAAGCATAATGTCCTCTGTGATTATCCATGTTGCTGAAAATGACAGGATCTTACCTTTTATAAGAATGAATAGTATAGTATTCCATTGAATGTGTGTTCCCTGCACTTTCTTCTTCCATGCATCCATTGATGGATGATTGTGGCGATCCCAGATCTTGACTTTATGAATATTGTGCCTATAAGCATGGGGTACAGGTATCCTATCAACACAATGGTTAAAATGTCCTTTGGATGCACACCCAGGAGTAGATTGCTGAGCCCGTTTACGCATCAGTTTGATAGGCCTTTCCTGAGCTAGACGTGACTATTCTCAGCTCCTACGCAGCTTTATCCTTGGTCTAAAGTTAGGAGTCTGGGAGGAGGAGGCACTAAAATGGAATCCCTCCCTATTGGCTTGTCCTACACTGTCCTGCCAGCTCTCCCCATGGCTCATATGGGATTGCCCATCCCACCTCTCAGTTTCTGCCTGAGCATCTGGATTTGGGTAGGAGGTGGAACTGGGTAAACCTTGGAATTCACAGTGGAGCAGGGAAAAGGACCCTGAGAAAGTAAGTCATGTTTCTAGTTCCCCCAGTTGGACTGGACCTCAAAGGGGAGTGGACAGTAGGCTTGGTAGGAAAAGCATGAGTGTGGTGGCACAGTGAGCACCATGAATCATTCAGAAGTAGGCAAGGACAGTCAGATATGGTCGTCTGTGTTCAGTGTCAACAGGCATAGTGACCCAGATTTCTTATGTGGTTTCTGCAGTGTTTACAGTCTGTAACTAGATGAACAGCACCATGCAGTGTACGGGAAATACCATTTGCTGAAGAGGAGAAACTCAGAGGTTCCTGTTGCTGCCTGCTGGCCCACTGCTGTGTGGCAGATTGTCCATTCTCTTCCTGTGTTCCTCATTGTCCAGCTCAGTGCCTGCAAGACGCTGTTTGTTGAATAACTAAAGCAGTCTATAAATGAACCAGTCCTAGTTGAAAACACCGTAAGATAATACATCAAAATCTCTGTTGAAAAAAAAAAAAGGCAGAAGTCAAGTTCTAGCCAGTAGCTAGCTCATTTTACAATCAGGCAGTATTACAAGGCAGTGAAAGTTTGTTTTTAAGTGTTTTCCCCCCCCTTATCTTCCATCTTGTCAACAAAGGGATTTCACCTTCCTAACAATAGATAATCTTGTTTATTTTTCTCATGAGTAGAAACTATCAGGTACATAAGAGTAATCTTTAATTTATCTATGACGCTCCAGATTGTACAGCCCACTCTGCTCATCCTGAAAGCCAGGCCCTATGAATTGGATAGAAACTATAGCAACTGCCTGCTGCCCACAGCCCAAGACTGCCTTGTTTGCCTGCTCTCTGTGCCTTACTTTCCCTGCCAGCTGCCTGCCGTCCTCCTTTTAAAGATGCTACAGTAGGAAAGACCCTTATCGGTGTCTTTGTGTCCCACTCAAAGAACATCCTGGTCATCCTTGTCTCTAGCCGTGTCCTCCTTGAGTCAGAAAGGAATCTAGGCAGTGCTCATTATGGGTATTTCCTGGTCCTTTTAAAACTATATTTCTACTTACAGGAAGTTGGATGTATTTGCTTTCTGTTAATATGAGAAATGCCCGAGAAAAGATGACATGTTTACTTGGGCCCATAGTCTTGAGCATTTGGTCCATGACCAATTGACTCATTAGTCTGAGCCTGTGAAAAGACATTAGGGTAGGAGCACATGGTCAAAGGGGCTCATTTACCCTATGGCTGGGTGTGAAAAGGTAAAAGGGGCTGAGGTCCCCTTACCCACCTCTAGAATCTACCCCCAATGACCTAAAACTGTCTCGCAACTACACCCTACACCTTAAAGGCCCCACAACCACTCAGTGGCTGGGGCATTTGGTGAGATTCTGAATCCAGACCACAGCAAGAGCTTGGATGTGAATGGGGGGTATGTTTGGTAGAGCTCCTGAGTGCAGTGGTTAGGCTGAGTTCTAAAACCAGACCATCTAAGCCTTGTTTCTGTTCTATTGAAATGAAATTCACATAACATGGAATTAGACATTTTAGAAATGTTTAGTTCAGTACTTTTGAACACTTCTCTAGTCTGAATGTTTCAGATATGTATGGCTTCTGTGTATTTTGGTTTTGAAGTTCTCCTAGTTTCCACTAATCAGTATTAGTTGGATATTTTTTTTGCCAAATAGTAATCAATTTTCTGACTATACTAAACTTATTGATACCCTTATTCAGATGTTATTAATGACTAAACATAAAGGAAAATGTGTGTGTGAGTGTGAGTGTGTGTGTGTGT